AGAATTAAGTAAAATAATGATCTTATACATTTTAGACACCTTTTCATCGCAATTAACAATATCTTGAACAAGCTTTTTAAAAACATCCAAATTGCGATCAATATCTTTTGAAGGATCCATTTTAAAACTGAAAAATATTTCCAGCAAGTACAATTTATTAGGAATAGACTTGAGCAAGTACAAATCTTCCAACTTTTTCAAAAGTTCATTTGTGGTATCAAGTTTACCAAATTTTCTCAAAATAGTATCTGACAGATGTAAAATAATTGAAGTATAAGCAAGTTCACCACATTCTTCTTTTTGTACTTCTGTCAAATTTGCAGTAAATTTGCCATCTATGTCCTATGACTTTTAATCATTGCAAGACAAAGAATATATCAACAAAAATTCAATTTTTTAACGCAATGCAATCTCACACGGTGATTAAACGACAATTAAACTACAAAATTAATTACCAAATTGCAAACCTTTAACACTTCAAATATGGCAAATAATTCCTAAATTTCTAGTACAAGCAATGTTACTCCACACGGTAACATCAATTCTAATGTCACCCCACACGATGATACGCTAGTGCTGAATTTTAAATTGTCATAAATCAATATACCAGAGCGGACCAATCTGATTTTGTAAATACTGAAAGATGCAAATTTATCACTTTAGGGTCACCAATATTCACCCTAAAGTCTCTAACAATTGCAAGAAACAATCAACCACGATCGAAACCCAAATGCGCGAAGAACAAAATAGTCCAAATTTTGCTGTATAAGCTCCTCGAAATTCCTGTTGGCGCGCCCTTACACGCAGCTTGAACCCTTTGCGCATGGTCTCCACGCACCGCCATCGATGAAACGCGCTTGACCTACGAGACCGTCTCTGGCTGCACATCACGCCCTGCTCTCCATTTGTTCAACAGGTGAGTGGTCTGCTTGGAAATCTAGAAAACAGCCTCGATTTCTTCACAGTTTTCGAACAGTTTTTCGGATCTGTTATCTGCTTTGATTATGCCAGTTTTCAGGCTTGTTTTTGGAGTCAAATCCACCACCCTGAAGCTATGATACCAATTGTCATGGAAGCTCGCTCCAAGAGTCGTCAAAACGGTATTTTTGGGCTCAATTTTACGTTACCTTTCTCTACCAACCAACCAATACAAACAGCTCCAACCCACAACCAATATATTCACCTCGGTTACTCTTCAATTTCACTCAAAAAGGACAAGATAAATGTGATAATTTGTAGACCACAAAGGTGCAAGAAATTAGTAATGAAATAGGGACAAAAGAGGCCAAAAAAAAAAAATCAAGGAAACCACCAATTTTATCTCTCAACTATGGCAGCCACTTTTTCTTCTTTTCTTTCTCACACAAATCACACACACTTTATGACTAGGATAAAGATACCATATATATAGGATATGTTAAGCTTTAGTTGGACCAATGAAATGCTTAAATGGACCAATATTCAAAATCATCCAAGAGATAATATATATGGGTCGTGAGCAACATTAATTATTTAAACTACTTTCAACAGCCCACGTTGTTTTCAGGTCAAGCATTTGGACTTGGTTGTTGGTAATAATTTAACTCCGTTTACATCATAGTCCAGAATTTATATGCTATCAAAAATCCCAACAACATTGTTAAAAACTTGGTTTGATAAAAATTCAATAGGAAAAAAATATTCAAAAAGGACAATCAATTGTTAAAATTTTGAAGTACTAAGAAATTATTCTTTCATTAAAACCTTTCAGGAAATTAAGTGGGACGATCTACACGAAGGAAAAAAGAGTACAATTACTTTCGTGGTTTTAATTCTGAATATCTTTAAGTAATTGAATTCCAATCTTTAGTACCAATTTCTTTAATGTAGATGTCATCATCGCTTCTATGAATAAGACAATTATATTGCCACATGAGGGAAATTGTTGAAAATCAATGTTACCATTCTTTTGAAACTTATGTGAATAGAAGGATTTTGAATAAATGTTCTTTGTTATGTCCCATTTAATAAAGTCTCACTTGAGTTGTGCAATAAAAGTTGCATTGTTTTCATATAATATTGCTAGACTATTTTTGTTGAAATCAATAGCAACTATTTTTATACTATTTCATGTAGACCCATCTTTTCTCTTCTACTTCAAACTGTTTTTATACTCTTTTCAATAAGGGGGACAATTTTCAATAACATACACACTTGGAAGCCGGACACATTTTATGTCCTTTATCAATGATTTCATGAAAAATAATAATATGTCATATTTCATCTTAACTCACTACCGTGCTAATATCATCCATTTTAAAATGAAGAAATTTCCCTACAACAATTTTCTTACTACCAACATCTTTAGTAGCATATTTCTTTTCTAACGAATACCTTAATTCTTTAGCAAATTTACAAGCCCAGTTCTTAAGAAAACGAAATCAGCAAGAACGGATAGCAGAAATCAGCAAGAACACTAATTAGCATAAACGAATTTAACAACAGCACAAAAACTAGCAGATCAGCAGAACAGAACAACGGAAAATAAAGGATAGGTTCAACATGTAAAATCACGTTGAAGGAACTGATGATAGAAAAGAGATTTTATTAATTCATCAAGTTCAAATGTAAAGGTGATTACATAGCTCTATTTATAGAGTAAATCTAACAAACTAATTACAATAAGAAGGATCTAGAATAGG